TCTTCGCTGCAGGTCGCTGGTCAATCACAGAGTACTGAACCTGCACAACAGATGCATTAAATACACAGATAGATAGATGCACTGATGGAGGAGGAGAGAGAACTCATGAGAGTCTGATGGAGTATTATACTAAAGTGGAGGTGTTACCTGGTTGCTTGAGATGCGAATGCCTCTGTTGGTGATCTCCTCCAGCCTCTGAGTGTTGAAGTTAGTGAGGGCGAGCTCACCTGAGGAAGAAAAAGAGGAAGACCTGCAGAGGTGAGACCTGAAGTGTTCTGACAGTTAAAAAATCCAGGAAACCCAGAAACTGATCTCCTTTCTTTTTTCCTGTACTGCCTTCAGACCCCCAATACGAGTGAATATTTATAGTTGTGTGCTGATCCAGGCATTAGAGTTAAACATTTTTGTCTGCTGCTGATATTATTGAGTTAAAATAACCCTAATGGCCTTCCTCAGCAGATTAGGTTGCTATAGTTGAAATGTGATAGAAAGCTTTAGGGGTCAGGGGTAAGTAAGGGGACCATGTGTTAAGATGAATAAGTGCCACTGTTTTTTTTTCTGTATAAACGTATATTTAGGTTCCTGAAAAATATAGGCTCATAGTAAAGCACTTGTCAACATGCTTTGAACTGCATGATAAGCCTACAAAACATTTAATATATTGCAATTTCTCAGCACTGATACTAATACTGATCTGTGATGAGCCACGGTCGGTCTGCTGATGTATTAGAGTCTAATACTGTATGTTATATGTGTCTGTATAACTGCATGTAAATTAAACATTAAGTGTCCAGGTGTGCCGACTTATTGTTGTCTCTTGCGGTATGTTCATCTGTACATTTCTTCCTCCGTGTATTGTGTGTACGTACGTATAAGTCCCTCCTGCTGCAGGTCAGATAGGTGTCCCAGGGCATCCAGGTATCTTTTGTCTCTATAGTCCCACCAGTGGAACTGAACACAGTCCAGACTGTCCACCTGCATGCGGGTCATGGAGCGCTGCAGCGCCTTCTCCACCACCTGCACACAGAGAGACACTGCAGCTTTAGTTTTTACTTTTCACAGTTAAACTGTGGCTCTTTAAAAATAACAGCATTTTAGTTTCATAAACCTGAAGGTCCAGATTCCAATGTCTCTACATACACCAACACAAACATACAATGCCAGGCAATATTAATAGAACAGAAGGTGATACAGTCATTGTTTATTGGGAGTTAAAAAAAAAACACATAATATAAACTATCTTGATGCGAATACCTTTGATTTCTTTCTGTGATCAAGATACATACGGAGCAGGACATTTTTACAGTTGAAAAAGTAGACCAATGAGGTGATTTCCTGGTTCTTTATAAAGACACACACTGCTCTCTAGTGGATACATTTATTCTCAGTGTAAAGCACGTCAGGCTCAGTGTGAGTGTCACTCTCGATGCATTTGTCAGCGGCTCACCTTGCGGTCCATTGGTCCTGGTCTTGGCACGTATTTGGTCAGACCCTGCAGAGCTGGGCTGTCATTCCCAGAGGATCTGCACTTCAGCTACAGATCAGACATTATCATCTGTTATCATGCACAATATCTGGCAAATTCAGTTTTTTCCTGCCAAAAATAAAATGATGCAGGAGTATTTGTTGGCTAATAATAACTGGAAAGCATGTGTAAAGCGAAAAGCTGGTTGGATGAGAAGAGCTCTCTGTGTCTCTCTGCACATTATTCCAGGTGAATGGTTGAGACCACGGTCAATACCATTAGACTGTCACAACACATCAGCCACAGAATCTCTGATCTGAGCCACACCGGGAACTGTGTGTGTGTGTGTGTGTGTGTTGTGTAAAAGAAAGGCAGAGAAAAGCATTACCTAGTTATGCTTGCTGTGAAGCTTGTGTGATGAGTGGTAGTGTTGAAGAGCATTTCTTAATGTGTGCCTGAGTATCTGCAGCTCTGTGGGAGAACACAGACATTAACAGCTGGATGGAAAAATTAAACAATGAGGCAGGACGGAGCTTACAAGAATAAACACTATGAATGACAACTGTGTCCAATCCAACAATAACCTCAATATAGGAATTTCCAAGGAATTTAGGAAGTGTATTTTTCATGCTTATATGCAAACAAAAATGTGTTTCTGATTTTTGATCTTTTTTACTTGGAGCATTATTCCCAAACATAAACCTGGGGAATTGTTGTCACTGGGTATTATTTTCCACTATTCAGCCTTGTTTCTTGCCTGTCTTTGTTTTTCTGCTTCCTTTATGTCTTTCTTGTAAAATGTCACACACACACACACCCCACACACACACCACAACACCACCACACACACACCACACAAACACAAAAACAGAGAGAGGCCTCTGTGGAGGTGCCAAACTTCAATCTAAAAAACAACGGCAATCCAGCACCATATTCTTGTGGTTCAGGGCGGCTCAAGCAGGCAACAAAAACAAAAACAGGTAACAATGTGGTCCCCACCCATCTCCACTGCAAGATCCACTTTGACGTCTTCTATAGGAAACCATTAAAAATTACTTAGTAATTTAAAACTTTACTCAATATATATTGGATTATTTTTTGCCACATTGTCACCCTGAAAAAGAGGGAAACTGGGTTCTGAAGAGCCAAAGATAAGACTGTGTTAAAGCTTATTAAAACTACCACTGTGTGTGTGTGGTGTGTGTGTGTGTGTTGTGTGGGTGTGTGTGTGTGTGTGTGTGTGTGTGTGTGTGGTACCTGGGCTGTTGAAGTGTCCAAAATATTTCCTCTGCTGGGCCCATAATGTCTGCCATGTCAAATGTGGTAAGACAGCGTCTACATAGTCCTGCATGGCCTCAACTGGAGGGAGAAGGAGGGAAATAATAATAATAATAATATAAATAATAAATAAATATATAATAATAAAATAAACAGCAGTTTAAGGCCATGCTAGAAGTAAGTTAGAGAGGGTGCGTTTTCAGTGTTGGTGCCGTGAACTACATGTAATCAAACTAGTTTAAAATATATTTTTGCAGTAGTGATTCAGGTAGTTACAACTACAAAATGTAACCTACAAAAAAATCTGACCTTTTTTCACAGCAGCACTTTGAAATAGTAGGGTAATCACAGGTGTTACCAATGATAATAATTTAGGTTCTGTTCGATTCAGTTCAAATAGTCACTGGAAATGCTCTGCTACAATAAATGGAATGGATCCTCATTAGTATTTATTGATAACACCTGTTTACACCCTAGTATTTCCATGTCAAAATGGCTGCTGTGAAAAGGGTCAATTTGGTCCACGTGAAAAGCCCATATGGGATTGTCTTCTTAGGACAGATTTAAACCTCAGGGGTATTCCAGGGAAGCTAGATTGTCAAGCTACCTGGAAAAACATTTTCCCTTCAGTGTTTAACGTTTTGAATAAATTGTTTTTGTTATATTTGGTATGCATTTATATCGCCATTTGTACTTTGCTTTACTTTAACTTTTTCCAGTTTTAAGTAATTGGTAGCTTCAGTATACTTGTCTCCCCCAACACTGGTTCACATTGTTGCACTACTAACAGTATGTAAATTAATTCATAGTATTTGTTTTTACCTTTGAACACTTTTAAATGCCTTCTGAGATTATTTAAAACTCCTCCAGTCTTGTTACACTGTTAGTTACCAAGCTCTGTTACAACACAACCCCTTCCACATTGGAAATAGGGTAAAGTCACCTTAAAACCACTTTTTAGCATATAGCTCGTAGTGCAATAACTTCCCATAGTTGTGCAGAGTGCAGTTCATATGCGCTACAAATGGGATTTCACAGGCTCTTTCCTAAACTGGCACACCTGGTTGAATATTCCCATGATACCCGAGTTTACCTGCTTTGGCTTTATCCACCGCTCCGTGCGCCCCGGACACCTGCCACATCCCGTTCAGAACCCGGCACACCTCCAGACCTCCGGACAGTGTCACTTTGGGCACCGGGGACATCGTGCTGCCAGGGCCGGGGAAGGAGCTGCTAGAGGCGGCCTGTGCTTTGAGTATAGCTCCTTTCTTCCTGGTACATAAAAGGCAAAACATCGATTGTTTTTCTCCTTGTCGCATCACTGTACTGAGTTGTCAATCAACGTTGTACCTGGACCTGTTTGATACTGCAGAATATAAACAACAACATCAACAACAATTACTTACTTTTTCCCTACAAGAGCCAGAACCACTGCCACAACAAAACAGTTACAAAAGATTTTGCATAAGTGTTACAAAAGCCACGAGTGTTTCAACCAATAGCTGACTCTGTTGAGCCGGAAATAAACTTCTTCTTCAGCAGGTTGGCCGCTGGTTTCCCGCCCCCTACTGGATACAAACTGTCACTTCTCTTTAGAGAAATAAAACACCTGACCTGGTCTTAAAAATGTAAGAAACAAACCAAGAGCACAACATATGGCAATAATGAGGCAAGGAGACATGATAGAGTAAAAAATAATCTTTACTTTTCAGTTACATTCCCACATAGAGCAGTCCCTGCAGACAACATGCTGGAAGCAGTCCCATTTTAAACGTATCATCACTCCACTGTTGCTGCTGCTGCCGCCTTCTTCTTCTTCTTCTTCCTCTTCCTCTTCCTCTTCCTCTTCTTGCCAGGTGTGCTGTCATCCTGTCCCGCTGCAGGTGTCGGTTTGTCCTCTATCTCTGAAGCTTCAGACTCTTCTTCTGAACCTGCGGGTCTCTTCTCGCCGGTGGACGGGCTGCGTGGTGTCGACTCCACGTCACTGTGGATGCACAATATATGTAGTCTAGATTTCCATTTTACACATTACAGGCATTAAAACAGCATTAGAATAACAGATGTGATGTCTTTGAATGTAAATAAGACTGAAAGTATCTTCAGTTTACTAATCCTGAACCAATAGGACTTTTAATTACAACTAATTGACATTACACCCCGATATTTACCATATCTGAACCGCTGGCTCCTGCTTCTCATTCCCAGCCTCACTGTATCTTTCCAGCAGAGCCACGAAGAAGCCATGCGTGCGGGTCTTGGTGGTGCTGGCTCGCAGACACTGAGTGAGCGGCTCCAGGCCTCGTTCAGGCCACTGACCCAGCAGAGGAACCAACCTGGAGGAGGAAACACAAACAATTAAAACTAATTCCAGCGGTAAAGCCTGTATGTTCAGAGACTGACAGCTGATTCCACGTCTGTCCCAGTGTTTCACTTTAATATTAAAAGGTAGAGCGGCGAGGGAAGGATTTAGATTTAGTGACGGTGAAGAGTTGCTACCTGAAGCCAGGGTTCTCCTGCAGACAGGCCGCTACAACGTCCTCGTTCTCCTGGCGGTGGATGGAGCAGGTGGAGTAGACCAGGCGCTTCAGCCGAGGGAACCTGAGGCCGTGGTTCAGGCACCGCAGCTGGAAAGAGGCCAAGGAGGCCAGACGAGCCTGATTCTTCTCCTGGTCTGCAGAGGAGGCATCGTCCCGGAGACACACCATACCTGAACCACACACACAGATTATAGAAATCAAATTAACATCCTGATGTGTTTGTTTAGAGGCACACTAGTATTCTGGTTTAAGTATCGGATAAGCAGAAATCTTAGGAAGATACTGAGACGTGAAATGTCCGTAAGTATCAAAAGTAGCACTCAATCTGCAGTATGGTGTCCCCTTTGACAAATACATTACTACATGTGACATTATTAGATGTTTAACTGTTGCAGCTGGTTGAGGTGGAGCCTGTTTATCTACGTTAGACACCCCAACTGTTTTATTTCTTTTGTTTTTTATTCTATATAAACGAATATAGTTCAATAACTTTGTTTCAGTGACTCGCATCACTTCATTGATTCTGTCTGGTCCACTATGGAAGTTCTGCTAGTTGTTCCCTGCACTTCTATCTAAATAAAAAAACATCTAAACTAACCCTTTGGTTTGGCCACAATCTAGTCACTGGTTGAGTTATTGTTCGTATGTTATAAGCTATAGGAACATCTGAATCCAGAGGTCCGGAGAGAAAGAGTGAGAGAAAAGGTCAAACGTGCCCGACACATCACGTACACACAGGGACAACTGCTCGCTCAACCTACCTGATCCGCTGCAGGACGGATCCAGCAGGACATACTCGACATCTTTATACTGCGGGCTTTCAGGGTCCACCTTCAGGAAGTCCTGGTTGGCCAGCTGCTGACAGGTGACCCCAGCTCGGAGCAGGAGAGTCGACATGGTGGCCAGGCGCTTGGCATCCAAATCAAAGGCAAACAGCCTGCCCTTGTTCTTTACGATGGCTGCCAGGTGGCTGGATTTGTTGCCCGGGGCGGCACAGGCATCAATGAGGTGGCTGCCAGGCGGGGGGTTGAGCAGGTAGGCGGGGAGGCAGCTGGCTTTGTCCTGCAGAATGATGTGTCCGGACTTGTACAGGAAGTGGTCATGGAAGTCGGTTTTAGGAGAGAAGACCAGCAGCTCTGGCAGGTGCATGTCCCTCACAAAGTGTTTCTCCTTCAGGGTGAAGTCATCCAGCCTGGAGGCCTGTCCCAGGTAGGAGAAACCATCCCTCTTCAGGTAGTCCACGGTATCCTCCACGGTGGTCTTCAGGGTGTTCACACGCACATACCTGGGCAGTCGGTCCCCGGCGGGCTTCTGGACGCTGACCGGGAGCAGGTCTTCATTCTTACTGACCTTCTGTTTCACCTTCATGCGGGCCAGCACCGCCTGCAGTCTGGAGCGATGCTTCATCATCATGGCCTTCCAGGAGCCGCCGCACTTCAGCCCCTGCCCCATCAGCAGGTCGTAGACCAGCACCTTGGCCAGGTGGATCCTCAGCTTGGTGTGTTTGAGCAGCTTGGTGGACTCGATGATCTCCTCCAGGATGGACGAGAACTTCTGGGTCTCACAAACCAGAGCGAACAGCTGCTTGATGTTCCCAAACTTACTGTCGTAAACTAGAGTTTTCAACGCGCCCTGCTTCCTCTCGGCTTTCTCCAGGACGTCCGCGGCTTTCACGTACAGAGCCATGGCGACTCAACTCACTTGAAGCGAGCTAACGAGCCGGACTACTTGTTGGTTTTTAACTCGTGACAACTGTCCGGACGCATTCCTCGTCCTTCAGAAGTTTCCTCTTCTCTGAGCAGAGAACAACAAGCGGCTTCTTCTCCTCTTCCAAGTTTGATTAAAAACAGCTTCGTGAACACTTTCCCAGCACTGCACATGGCCGAGGACGGGTCGTGACTCCGGAAGTACAAGCTGACGCACTGTTTTCGTCTGACGTAGGAGGCCCGTCCAGCCAATCACCGATGTGAACTGAAAGATGTTATTATTATTATTATTATTGTTATTATTATTATTAGTTATTATTATTATTATTAGTTATTATTATTATTGTTATTATTGGGGCA